ACCAGCCTTCTCTACAATAGGATCAGTTCCTGCCATCTCTCTCCTTTGTAGGATCTGACAAGGTGTAGGCTGGTTTATACCTCAACACTCCATGATCATCAATGTACTGTAACAGTGGATTGGGGTGTGTGTTGTTCATACTACCTAAAGAGGTATATCTGAAAAATAAAAATCCAACAAAATTATTTGTTTATAAAATACTATGACCTGAACAAGCTCAAAATCTGATAGGGCAAGACCTTATAAAGCATGTGACAAATGAAATTAATAAAAATCTTCTTTAGCTTTTTCAACTTGTGCATACTGCTGAGCCAAAATAGAAGAAGATGCAACTCAATTTTTGGTACTCAGTGCTTTTTGTCAAAAGTGTGAAATGTGAAATAAATTCACTTACCCTCTATCATATAAACTACAGTAAGGTATATTTAGGTCTCTAAGAAACTTCCATATATGTCTATAAGACCAGTTTAAAACAGGATTCACCCTCATAAACTGTGGCCAATCAGAATCGGTCATACTGAAGGCTTGTAAATGACCTAAAAAGATGAGAAAAAGTTAGTTAACAGAGGAATAAATAATTTAGTAAAAGAACATCCTTTTTTAAACAATACACAGCAAGACAACAAGAAAATTATGAGAAGGGTATTTAGTAAAACTTCCTGTCATAAAAGGCATTTTTCTCATACTTTCCACTCAAAATCACTACAAAATTGCAGTATATTGCAGTCTGTAAAATCTACATACTTGAGTATGGGTCTGTAATCCTGGTGCCCATTATAACAGCTTTGATGTCAGAATGCTTATCTTTCAACTGTTGGAGACTGTCTTTTATACGACCCTCAAAGTGCAACATCTCAAGTCGATACCTAAAGTATACAACATCTCAAGTCAATATCTAAAATATACAGCATCTCAAGTCAATACCTCTAATTTACATGATCTCAAGTAGATACCTGAAGTATAAAACATTTCAAGTCGATACCTAAAATATACAACATCTCAAGTTGATATATAAAATTTAAATCTCAAGTCAATACTAAAAATATAAATCATTTCAAGGTTATACCTAAATTATACATCTCAAAATGATATTTTTTTTCATTAGATCTCCAAATCTAATGATTACATGCAAAAATTGTAGAGGCAAGATGAAGTGGGTTGGAAATAAACTTTGTACAAAGGAAGAAAATTTCATTTAAATAGAATTTTTACAGGCCTAGTCATTGATATCACAGCATTCTGGCTATGAACTAATTTACAAAACACATATTTTATCAATGAGCAGGTCTGGTTTTAAAAAAAGTCAAATGCTGGATGATTCTAGTGTTTATTCACAGAAATTTTAAAAATATGAATGAAAATTCAAAGAAAAATTATTCCACATACTTATCTCGTGATAACTGTGTAAATTTTTCTTCCTCAGGAAATGGGAGTCTGCTCTTGATATACAAAGCTTTCAGCCTTCCTTGAAAATCGGGATACTTTCTGAAATAAAAATAGGATATCTTGTATTTTCAAAGCCAACTTCTGAATCCAATGTTTTCATCCGATTGTCATTGCCAAAACCCCCAAATGCTGTTATTGTGTTTAAAGGAAATAAAAATTTGTTACATACCTTTTCACAACTGCATAATAAATGTGAAGTAAGACTGTGCAATCTTTTCCTCCATTGAAGCCAATACATATTTCATCTAAACTGAGGAAAGTAAAATAAAGTTAATACATAAGATTCAATTTCATTCAGCATTATTTATTTCTTTTTCCAACATGTTATTGACTTTTTTTCAGGTTTTGTTTTACTCAAACATTCATTATTTATAACTCAAATTTTCTTTGCGGTATCAGTATTCATTACAGCAATGAATTGCAACCACATGATAAATGAGAAAACCATAGAAATTTAAGTATATATAACTACAGTATATCAATGACACTTTTTTCAATATACACTTCATACTAAAAATAACCCCATATTAGGAATACAAAGCACTAGTACTTTAATCCAAACACTGTTTAGTACCTGTATTTTTCTAGACATTCCTCTAATACAGACACAGCCTCTTTAACACAGTTCCTGTAATGGTCATCAGAGTTACTTGACTCGATCACATCATAAACTCTACGTGTTGCATTTTTGATGGGCTGGCTATCATAGTCTACAATGCTACCTGTGAATAGAAATCTCTTCTAAAATCAAACAGCTCTATCCTATACCAAAACAACCTTTTGTAGGCAGAATTTTTAGCAAGGATGCTGAGTTAGCTAAAATTGAATATCACTAAAAATTAATTGCGTTTTATTTGTAGTAACTTCTTTAATGAGCATTTTCAAATTGCTAAAATTAATTTTCACTAAATTTAAAATAGCAACTTTTAAGAAGAAATCGCTAAATTTGCCTCCCTCTAAAATTTCCACTTATATGGTATTTGTAGGCAAGTGTATGGGTCAAAGTACATATACAGTATGTATATTGAAACTTAAAAATGATCTGACTGCAGTTTTTTCCCAATTCAAAACCAAATAAACAATTTTTTTTACATACCTTCAGGTAATTTTTCTTTCAGTGAAGCAATAGCTTTATGTATTTGTTCTGGTTTACTGGATTCCAGCATCAATTTAACTTTGTAATAACTGTATTTAAAAAATGCCAACAATAATAATCTAATTAGTAAATTTAAGTGAGGTATAATAAGCAATTCACAGATGCTAGCATTATATAGTTTTCTTTGTTACAGCTGTAGTTTTTATATTCCTGTTTCAGATTAACTTTTAAATGTTTCTGTCATAAATATACTCCAGCATCAGCTAAATTTAGATATTCATCTAAAAAAATACTGGGCATTCTATTTAAAGAAAAAAATACCGAGTGCTACTTAAATAGGAAAGCACTAAACTTACCTGTTATGAAAGTCTGGGTATGATCCCAGTGTTACATCAAGTTTAAATTCTTGGTCCACCTCATTCAGTATGGCAGCAATTGATACCTCATCTTGCTGGACAAAGATTTCTTCTGTGTAAAAATGGGCATCAGGATTCTTAAACAAATCCTACAATAAAACAACAAACAAAGCACATTCAGATAAATTCTACTTTGTATTCTTTACTGGGGCACTAAAAAATACACAATTACTGAATTAAATCAAAGTACTGAAAGTACTCATGGGAGTTGAACATGGTAATCTGAAAGATCTCACAGGAAGTAGAGGAAGATTTTCATGCTTTCAGATTTAAGTCAGCTAGAACTAATTTGTTAGAGATACAACACGAAACATTAAAAATAATTTCAATTGCATTTGAATAGTGAAGATCATGGGACTGCTTTTAAATTAGCTGCAGAACTGTTGCTTTCTGAAAAAAAATATTTTGATAGACCGGAGAGCTACAGTGGCACCCATTAAAAAACTGTGTATATTTACTGCACAAAAAAAGTGCGTGCGCTGGTTCTCGATTTATTTTTCCATGTTTTTTAACTGTCACATCAAAATATTACTAATATGTTCTAAAATATATTCTTTCACTGTTTCCACAACAAAACATTCCTTATAATTGTTGTAAATAGCCCTTCAGTCCCTTCTGGCCTCAAAATTGAGATCATATAAAATGTTGTCTATCTATGCTGCGCTGCAATTTTGGTTTGCAAGATAATTTGGTCCAACCCACTTCGTGCAGATGTCAAATATAAGCGAACTTCATAGAGGAGGAAGGGATTTTTATAAATCTTTTTCACGTTTGAGGTAAGAATTAGAAAGAATTAATCCAGAACTAAGCTCAACTTTTCGTGCTCAATAAATGTACAGTTTTTACAATGGGTGGCGCTGTAGATCTGGGGTCTGTCAAAATATTTTTTTCAGAGAGCTACAGTTCTGCAGCTACTTTTAGATACAGGTCAGTTAGTGCAGATTTGAAAGAGATACAACACTAAGCATTAGAAATAAGTTCAGTTTACTTAGCACCGTTTTTGAAAGTGTGTGTAAGGGGGGGGGGGGGGGGGGGCAGAGAAAAAAAATTTAAATTACCTTATAAAAACCGGACAAAATTTTGACCAAACCAAACAAACAACCCCCACCACAAAAAAAATAGTTTTTCCAAAATTGAAAATACTATTTTGTGGGTAGGATTCAAACTTCTTTCAGTACCATTTATTACTCAAACACTGCCCTCATACTTATGAAACATCTGAATCAAAACGCCCCCTTCTCTCTTTTGAATGAAGAGGCAAACACTCTTTTTATTCGATGTTACCATCAACAGACACTAGATTGTCACTTTTCTTTCTCTGATTAAAACAATCATTTGCTTTTCTCTTTTGGGAATGAATGGTTCTTTTCGGACCCAATCATTAATTTTTATAGAATTCTGTGGTTATCTTTTCTATCAAATGTATCTATCTTTATATATTCAATAATTTTAAATTTCATTTTAAGTAATTTCTATATAGAAGTAAGTATGTCTGAATACTTTACATTTTGTTCGTTTTACGTTCGGAAATTTTTCACTCATAGTGAGACACTACCACTTGCCGATGGAGCTAGCTACATGTAGGTCTATAAAATTTTACCCATACCAGGCATGGGGTAATCGTAATCGAGTAATCGTAATCGATTGTAATGATTACTTTTTTTCAAGTAATCGACAGTAATCTGTAATCGAAGAAATTTTCAATTACTTGTAATCGTAATTTAATAGATTACAGCCCAAATTTCCAATGTAATTGTAATTACTTTTTCGATTACTTTCAATTACTTTATACATATACATACAGCTCTACTTTATACATAAATGTTTTTTTGTAGAATCATATTTCAACAGTCAATCAAACATAAATATAATATACAAACCACTCAATATTTGTTGATTTCCTAACTTTTAAAATCATAACTTGAATAATGTTCACAATAACATTTGCATCATAGACATACTTGTCTAGACTTTTTTTTTCAAATTTTAGATGTTGATAAAGTTTGTCTGCTAACAGAAAATAATATATAGCAAAAATAGATTTGAGTGCTTTTATATAAATAAAAATTATCTGAAATACAAACTATATTGTACTAGCTAGGGCCTATTAGAAAAAGAGAAATACTTTTCATATCTGCTTGTGTTTAAAATTTTCAAAATCATTTCCATGTTTTCATTAAAGATTGACTTGTTTTGTCAATGAGTGTCTTTATGTTAAAAGAGGGGGTATTAAGTGTCACTGTGTTTATCTTGGCTAATTGGCTGGGATATCCCTGATAATGAGGTGTGAACTGTGAACTTCATAGACTAGTATTTTATAATTAATAAATCCACTACAGGCAAACAATCTTATAAAACAATTGATTGCTCTCAAAACAAATATTTCAACACAGAAGAAATTGAACTATTTGTTATACTTGAAGGTACATTGAGTTTAAATGTTAATCACTACAAGCTCTACTTGATTCATTTTTTCGAAATAATTAAAACCTAGGAATCGTGTAAATGTGTACTGCCAGCATGCAGAATGTTCAGATACTTGTAAATCACAGTAAAATACAGTCAATTCTCGAATTATCGCCATTCGATTCATCGCCATTTTCGCATTACCGCCATGATTTCCCAAGAACGTTTTTCCTGCTATATAAAATTCTCTTTATAACGCCAAATTCGCATACCGCCATCCGCCACCCTGTTTTCACAACAAACGTCCATTTTTAAGTGTCAATTTTCTCGATATACCGCCACAGGTGTATGTGGTCAGTGAAGCACGGCTAATTGGTTGACGCTTCCCCTCTTGTAAAGTATGCAAACCCAGCGAGGTACATGCAATTAAATAATTCAATAAGATTTAAATAAACAATAATTTTAACATGCACTGTTATAATAACTTTGTATTCCATTTAATAAAAATCATTTAGTCACGGCTTCGACACTGTGACGAAAGCGGTCTTTGTTAAAGTACATTGATATTATAATAACGATATTATTTTGATGATCTCTGCTTTAAACTTAAAAAAATAATTATACGGTATAAAATGTGAACGTTTCATTAACAATGATGCCATAAACAATGAATTTATTCAAGAATTCATTTTACCTACTATCGGCAATATATCACGACGATCGACCCAACACGTTATTTTTTCAATATCCGACGTGCAGATTTACATGCAAACATATGTACTTGTATTTATTTCACAACTGCACATTTTGTTTTAGCAAAATTGTACATTAGAAAGTATTTTCAAATTTAGAAATATGTTTTTATATACATGTGCATGTAATAATAAGAATAGAAATGTTAAATGGTATTTCTAAGAACGGTAACTCTTCTTGTTTCCTAAAAGATGGGAAATTCAATTCATCGCCAAATTCGTTATACCACCATGACTTCTAAATTACAAAAGGTGGCGGTTTATCGAGAATTAACTGTATTAAATAATTTCTGCAACAATCAAGTTATATAGTACGGAGGTTCAAATCCAAACTGCCTGAATACATTCAAACTTCAGAGGATATATCATCAACATTGCTACAAAATATATTTAAATATTTTCCTGCTCTGATATTTAAGGGTGGAAGAAGATTGAATGTAATCGATTATTACACGTAATCGATTACAATGTCTAAAGTAATCGTTTACAATCGATTACAGGACAAAACTGACTGTAATCGATTATTAATCGATTACACAAAATTCCTCCAAGTAATCGATTATTAATCGATTACATTTTTTAGTAATCGTGCCCATGCCTGACCCATACACAGCACTCAGAACCATTGAGCAGTAATCGGAGGGGTCTTTTTGTGCCAGCACCTACAGCGAAATGGGATTTCGGTTTATAATGGTCTCATCAAAAGAGATCATCTCAAAATGCATCCCGCAGGAACGTGAGATGCAAGGATCAACACCTTACTTTGAATCTCTAGAGCAAACTATTTTAACAACTGCGCCACGCGAGTGACACTTAAATTTTGTGATTTTGATTTGACTCAAATGTAATTAAAAATCAGACATAGTTTAACAAGCTACTACAAGAAAAAAACTTGAGGAACGATGTGTTTTCACACATCGATCATTGGGATTATTATACCATTGTGTCTGCATACACGTTTTCATTTCAGTGTGCGAAATTAACGGTGGACCGGTAGACAATGTCTATAGAAAATCTAGTCGGTCTATACCGATCGAAATATTAATAGACCGACTTGTCTATAGGAATTCTGAGTAAGAAACTGGTTCCCTGCTTGTCTCTAATAAACAAACCACAAAAAGGAGGACCAGTTTAAATAAAACGTCTGTATTACACTGATGTATTCCGTTCACCCCTTAGTTATAATAGTTTGTTCCACGATGTATGCAGAAATAATTCGAATTGGAATATTTTATTTTTAACATGAGGGGAGGTTAAGTTGTGATTACTTAATGGCCGCGGACACCAAAACAGTGCAGAAGAAACATGTCCTTCTTCGACCGTTTAAAGTATGTTGAGGGTGCACGCCCAGGAATTATTATTGAGCGGAAGGTAGCGAAGACAGCGAGTTCCAACAAGACAGAAAAAGATGCTGAGTATGACAAAGGTCAGGTGGCAGAGACAGGTCAGGTGGCAGAGACAGAGACTATGATTGAGATGGAACCTGAGCTTATTGAGACAGAATCCATGGAACCAGAAAGTGATTCAGACAGTGAACCTGAACAAAGTGAAAAAGAAAATGAAATGTTGATTAATAAGTTGGTCTATGAGATTGAAAGAGAATATAATTAAACTATGTATGAACAAGTTTTCATGTATTATTAATTTTAATTTCAATATTTTAGCATTGAATGTAGTATTCTAAATTTCGGTCCATAGGAAGTTGCTGCGGTCTATAGAAAATGAAATGTCTATGGTCCGAAAGTCTATAGGACTTTGAAGTTAGTTTCGCACACTGCATTTTAATTGTTTTATTAATAGCCATTCTCTGTAACCACTTAAACTTTGTTGCCACGCATGGTCACCGATTTTGATGAATCTTCACCCATGCTTAGTACTTGACACCAGAAACAAATATCAAACAAAATTTCGTTGCTATGTGTGTCGGTTGC